GCTACACTATTGTCTACTTTTGTGTATGTTTAAATTTTTCTCTAAGTCAAAGGCTTTTAAAAATGGAATTTTCGCAACAAAAAGATCTTCCAGTACCCTTGGGAAGAGCACAAACTACCTCTTGCTGAGCATCCGTGACTGTGGTGACCTTGGAGGAGAACTGTGTCTGAGAACCTGTGTCTAGGAGGTGACTGGGACCAACAGGCCCTTGGGTGGAGAGGGGCACAGCCGCAGGCCCTGTTTGGGCATCTGGGCCCCTGGTGAGAGATCCTCTCTAGGAAGGACAAAGAAGGCAAGGACAGACAGACAAACAGCAGCCTTCCCAGGACTGTGGTCAGGACTAGGGGATCACGTGATCGTACCTTCTTGCTCTGTTGAAGCCTTTGGATCTGCCAGTGGGTCTGTAACAGTCCTCTCACCAGGTTAGGTGTTCCAATGAGCATCATGACAGCACTCAAAGACCAGAGTTTTGCTCTGGAAACTTCAATATGCCACGGCTCCCTTTGTTGTCCCATGTACCACACACCCGGTTCCAGCCTCTCTGGTCTTATGGTCAGAGGTCCCCTTGGTTGGCCTTGGTTTATTGTTCTGTTGAGGCAGCCAGTCTCCCTCTTCAGTCAGTGATTGGTTGTTTTCCCTGTGCACCAGCCAGCACAATAGGAAGGCTTCTTCTTGTTAAGTCCCAGCATTCCAGAGGGACAGGAGACGCAGGACACAGTGTTGTGAGAGTCGGCTGACCAAGATCCAATGAGTGGAGCGCTTACACAGAGTCTTTCCATGCTTAGCTGTCTGTGGCTTGGATAGTGTCCAAGCCCTCCTGACCCGGCAGCGAAACACAACAAAATCAGGTAGGAGAGACAGCTCAGTGGTTAAGAGCACTTGCTTCCCTTCCAGGGGACCTGGGTTCAGTTTCAAGCAACCACATGGTGTATAACCGTCAGTGTTCCGGGGCCCTGGCTTACCTATGTTATAGTGTATGTAACCAGAACTCTTATTTGTCTACTCAGAAAACACCTGCTGTATTTTGAAAAAGATTTCTTTATTTTCTTATTCATTTAAGGTGTGCATACACACTCCCGAGTGTGTGGATACACACCATGTTTGTGCCTTGCCCAAGGAGGCCAGAAGGTGGTGTTGGAGCCTCTGGAACTAGAGACAAGCTCTAGGCCCACGCACCTCTGACCCACAGAGATCTAGTAGGCTGACCACGCCCCTTCCTCCTGGTAAGGCTGTTGGTCCGTTTTTTTTTGGAGATTGAGACACAGAAAGGTTAAGAACCTTGGCTGGAGTCACACAGTCTTACCAATGGGGCACCCTGAGCTCACACGCTGAAGCAGCCTTCTGTTGGCCTCTCGCTTTCTCCAGCTAATTTCTGTAGGAATCGTCATCCCTATCGGATGGCAGCTAACAGCAGACCTGGACTTCCTTTGAGGGTTGGATGATATGAATGGACAATTGAGGAAAAACTGGAGTTTGATCCCCAGCACCGCAACGGGGAGGGGGAAACAAAAAAGAAAACCAGTACCATGAAATGGTCACAGTAAAAACAGGTGTCACGGTTTAAAGACTCAGTCTGGGGGCTCTAGGGATGATAGATAGATAAAAGGGCTTGCAGCTGAGTGTGAGGTGACTTAGGTGACCAGCAGGAGGAAGGCCAGAGCGCGTCTATAGGCCACCAGCACGTACGATGTCCCACAAGAAACACGTGCAGGGATCTGCTGCCTTCTCACAGAGTCTCAATCATAGGTGAAACAGCTTGTAAAGGGGGCTGCCCCAGACCCCTAGACAAGGAGCCAGGAAGAGCTGCAGCTGCGCCTCGGTGAGCTGATGGCTGACAGACCCTGGCAAAGGCAGGGACCAGCATCACCTGCCGGGGCAGCGACCAGCAATGCTGGCCAAGCCTAGCAGTTAGCAGGCCAGCCAAGGTCAATGCCTACTGAGCAGGGACTTCCGAGTGTGGCCTCTCTCCAACCGTGAGCAGTGTGTGAGCCGCTTGTGTGAGCCCTTGCTGGTTGGGTGAGGAAGCTGTGCACAGAGGGAAAGTCCCTACCCAGCTCAGTGGCAGCACTGTTGGGGGGCCCCTCCCATAGGACGCTAATCTGACTTTCCTGGCACCCTTTCTTGAGCTCCTCTTTCTGCAGTAATTTTTTTTTTACTTTTTAATTAAAATATAATTATGTCACTTTTCTCCTTCCCTTTCCTTCTTCTAGTCCCTCCCAAGTCCTCCTTCCAACCCTTCCATGTCTCCCCCCCCATTTTCAAATCAATAGCCTCTTTTTCCCTAATTATTATTGTTACAAATATACATATATGTATGCAGAAATATATAAATACAACCTGCTAAGTCCATTTTTGTTGTTTGTGTGTATATGGTTTGGGGGCTCGATTTGTATTGGATAACCATCTGGGGTACTCACCCGGGAGCTAGGCTAAGTCTTCCTTTCTCGGCAGTCAGCTATTGTCTGTAGCTCCTTGTCCGGGGTGTGCCCTGCGGGATTTTCCCTTTCAGTGCTAGCGTGTCTGGTGATGCTGCTATGCTCAGATCTTGTCTACGCAGCCATCTCTATGAGAAAGCGTTTCACAGCAGACTTCCTGGTGCTGTAGCTCTCACCAGCTTCCCACCCCCTCTTCTGAGATGGTCCTTCAGCTGCGATGCAGGAACTGTGGTATAGATGTATCTGTCGAGGCTGGGCCACCCACAGTCTATCTGGTGATCTCTGCCTTCTGTCCGGCTGTGGTTTTCTGTGATGTCTCCATTTGCTGGGAGAGAAGCTTTGATGAAAGGAGGTAGCTACGCTTGCCTACAGATACAAGGATAAGATTTAGGATGTAGGAAGGGATCATGCTGGTCTTTAAGCTTTCTCTGTAATGAAAGGTTTTAGAAATTCACCCTTTGTGGCACTGAATTTCGCTCTTCGAGTTTTCTAGAAGGACCTGGAGCCTGCCTCAGTGGAGGCTTTAGCGAACATCCAGAAACTTCAGTCCCTGAGTTATGCACTCCTGAGATGAGACTGCGTTTGTTGCTCTCAAGGACCTCTGTGTGTTTGTTTCAGAACTAATAACAATTACCTCAGGTGTTACTATGAATCCTTATTGCATGTTTACCCCATGCCAGGAGGTGTTTCAGTCATCTGTGCATGTTAGCACCTCATTCCTGACAGCTCTGCCTCACAAACGAGAAACCAAAGCTGTAGCTTTTCATTTTATTGAACAATATGGGCTGGAAAGATGACGTGGAGGGTAATGCACTTGCAACACAAGAGTGAGGCCCAAACATCAGATCTCCAGTACCCATGTAAATAGTAAACACTGGGAGGGTGTGGTGGTGTAGACCTGAAACCTCAGCTCTTGAGAAGCAAAGACCCATGATCCCTGGAGTAAGCTGGCTAGCCGACTAGCTGAATCAGTGAGCTGTGGGTTCAAGTCAGAGACTGCGTCTCAATATACAAGGTGGAGGGCTACTGAGGAAGGCAGCTGAAGACAGCCCCCTGCAGCATCAACCTCTGGCACATGTTTGCATGTGCAACTCTACACGTGTCCAAACATAGAAATACATGAATTTATACCACACAAACACCCCATATATAATGTTATAAAAGATGTATTTTTAACTTTTAAAAAGATTTACTTTTTACTTATTTTTATTTATGTGTGTGTGTGTGTGCATACACACATGCTTGTGTGAGTTTACGTGCACCTCATGTAGGTGCTAGAATCATAACCCAGGTCCTCTGCAGGAGCGGTACATGCTCCTAACTGCTGAGCCAGCTCTCCAGTCCCCCCAATTTTTTTGTTTTTATTTTTTCTAATTAAGAAAAAGAAAAGAAAAGACAGGGGCCGGAAAGATGACTTAACATTTAAAAATTTATCTTGCTCTTGCAGAGGACCTGAGTTCAATACCCAGAACCCTATGTCTATAGCTCACAACCACCTATAACTTC